TTATTCAATAAATCAATTGTAAATTTAATAATTGATACTTTCGATGGGTTTCATCAGTTTATATACGAAATCTTTTAGTGCAATGCATAGCAATGAGAACATTGCATTATTACGATTAATTAAACTAAGTTAATTATTCACAAATTAGTTTAATAAAATTATCTCACTTATCAGGCATTCATAAGCACAGAATGTGACAATAAGTGCATGTATTGATTAAAAACAATCAACGTATAGCATTTAATACTCAAAGTTTAGTAAAAATATATGAAGGTACTAGTTAATTGTTAGTATACGAAGCACCTGTACAAGTTTTGCTTAGTACTTACAAGTTAGATAAAAATACAGTAGTCTGTATTGGCGTATTGATTGAACTAATAAATTGTTAATTTATTCTGATCTAGTTTACTTATACTTTTATTTCTTAAGCACATTGTCGATTGTTTGATTGATTAATAATCTAACCTGGATTAATAATTAATTAAATGCTATGCATAGGACTAACGAAATCTTTTACAAAATCTCTTGCAATTTTGTATATAAACTGATGAAATCCATTGAAAGTATCACTTATTAAATTTACAATATATTTGTTGCAATTTGCCAAAAGTCTATCCATTAGATGCTATGTATTTATTTCAAATTTTGTACATAATTTGGTCATTTCTGGTCATTGACAGACTATCTCAATGGAAAATACATCTATAAACTGTACTAAACATGTTTATACCAATTAGAATGAGCTAGGCTATTTGCTACAAAAATTACCTTTCCTTTTAAGTATAGTTTTTCATATTTGTTTAATCAATAAGTTAATTTATAAAACCTATTTTTATAATTTGTTTTTAAATATTTTCATGTGAGGTAATTACAGTTAACCTGCACTCTTATTGTTACTTAAATCAATATGGTAGAAATTGATATAATAATGTGCATTTTCTCAAATTTCAAGAATAATTAGTGAAACTATTTTATCAGTTTTTATCATTAACTAAATAGAAAATTTTTTGTCACTAACTTTTGTTATTTAGATATCTTACAACTTTTGATTAGTCTGTATATTAAAGAACTAATCCATTATTTTATCAATGTACCAAGTTTAAACATTATTTCTTTACTTGCCCTACTTACTATGAAATAATGTACAAATATACTACTGTACCACCTGTGTCATATTGTACTGTACCAGTTAATGCAAAGCAAGGGGTTGAGATATTAACAATGTTAGTTAATGTAAAATATGGAGGGAATTAGGCATCTGATTCCTATGGTACATTTTGACACACACTGTATATCTTAATATATCTGATTAGCGTTTGTGATATTATTAATATCATATTAATAAGAAAATAACATTTATATAATAATGCTATATAAATATAATGAAATTGTTTATCGTTTACTGTTATAAATTATAACTTATAATTATTAACATTCAATAATAAGCATGTTATTCAATACTAAACTTATTATTTTAGTTTTAAGTTATTATTTGTCTCAAAGTAATGGCTTTCAAACTGAAGCTTTCAAATCCAATTATTTTGATGATTATAAAGAAAAATATGTTTCAAATCAAAAGTTTGATTCAATTGAAGACGTGATAAAAGAGGGCAGAAAACAGATGAACCACTTTATGGCCAATCAGTCAATTCCTGGAGCGGTTCTCGCGTTTAGCATAAACGGCACAAATGTGTGGACCGAAGGGTTTGGTTATACGGATGTCGAGAACGATGTCATCACTCATAAGGACTCGATCTGGCGTTTGGCCAGTATTTCAAAGTCATTGACTTCGGCACTGATTGGACGGCTTATGGACAAGAAGTTGATTGATCTCAACCACGATATCCACACATATTTATCACCCGATTTCTATCCCTATAAGACATTCAACGGATCTGCGGTTAATATAACCGTACGGCAAGTGATGTCACATTTGGCCGGACTTCATATGAGTGAAGTACCCGATTATTATGACGTCTTTCGGGCAACAAATGTGAGCCAAACTATCGGTAAATACAAAAACGAGAAGTTGTTATCAAAACCCAACACAACATTTGATTATTCAAACTATGGCTACCAATTGGTCAGCTCTATCATCGAAACAGTGCTTAACAGTACTTATGATAAAGAAATTGAGAAAATGTTTCGACAATTGAATATGAATTCAACATTTGCTGAGAAAAGGGAAGCGCTTTATAAACACAGACCGAAGTATTATTCCGATTCAAATGTATTGCAAATAACAGATATTGTCGACGAGTTGTGCTCATACGAGGGCTGGTGGCCGGCGATGGGTATGATATCGACGGCCAGTGATTTAATAAGGTTTGGAAACGCCATGATATCGGCTTATAAGGGTAAAACGTCAGGTACTGTATATAAATATAATAATAAATACTATTACTATTTTATTACTAGAAATATTGATAAAAATTATGTTTTTTTAATTTTTTAATAGATTTTTTAAGCGAGAAAACAGTGAAAGAGTTGTGGACTCCGGAGACTATCGGCAAAATTAAACCCGAATGGTTTAACCCAAGAGATGAATATGGTATGATTTATAAAATTACCTTAATTATAAAAACTAATAATATTTTCTTATAAATTAGGCAAAGGATGGTTTATAAAACACATTCCCGATACCGATCCTTACCCTTATCGGACACTAATGTGGCACTCGGGAGGAATATTGGGCACAACAACAATGCTTACACTGTTTCCCGACCAGAATATAGTTGGCGTTGCCTTCACTAATAAGGGCTATGTTTTAGATTTGGATCAAATCATCCTAAATGTGGCCAAAAACTTTAAACAATTTCTATAAACTAATTTGAATGAGTAAATAAATTCTAAACACCATAATTAATTTGCTTTGATTTTAGTCATATAAGTTACACATTGGGTAAAAAACAAGAACTTTTGTCGCGCCCATTTAAATGGCTCATAGGGTGGGTGCGCACCAATTTCCCTGGGTCACCCAATAATCATTGAGCACGTGCTCCAATGGCATACGCATCTGTGGATCAGGGTTTGTCATTTTGTACAACAGTGCCAGCAGTTGACTGTGTCGGGAGAGACCCCTCCCGTTCTCCAGAGCCTGTTTGATGAACTCGTGGGCGTCGATGCCGCGGCCGGCGGGCATATGCTTCAAATGTGGGCGCATATCATAAGCGTTGCCGACCACTGATATGGCCAGAGTTACGCCCAGAGAGAACACATCGGCCGCCTTAACGCTGAGCATCAGTGGCTGACGCCTGCGCTCGGCGTTGAGGGCCGCCTGAGTGCGGCGTTCGGGCGCCGCTATGAACGGTGTCTGATGTATACGATTGGTGGGAAAGCGGTCGGCGCCGAGAGCCGGTCCGGTCGTGAACAGCAACGATAGGCCAAAGTCGGCCAATTTGTATGTCTTGCGCTGAGCGCCCGCGTATGTGATGTACAGTATATTCTGGGGCTTGAGATCCATATGGGCGACACCCGACCGGTGCAGGTATAGCAGGGCGTCGCCGATCTGGCGGAACCAGGCCCTGGCCTGACCGTCAGACATACCGGGCGGCCCGATATCGCCGACCAGATCGCCCGCACACTTCTCCATGAATACAAACACATAGAGATGCGGTAAAGTACTCCTCGGGTCCCGTATGTCGACCACTGCCTCAATGGACACCAGATTCGGATGGGAGAGACCGCGCAAACTGTCCACATCCCGGAGCATCTTCTGTACGGCGCGCTTATAGCTGGACTCACCCCAGAATTGTTGCAATTTGAGTACTTTCGCGGCCAACTCCACGCCCGGACGGCGGAGATCCTGTACGATCCACACCTCCCCATAGCCTCCCTGACCTATTTTAGTGGTGAACTCTAAGCCGAGTTCGTCTCTCGTGTGTCGGAACAGGTTTTCGTGATGAATCCAAAACGAGTGTTGAATCCCTTTGGGCCAACCCGTGCTGTAAAAGTCGGTGGCCGTCGCCGGACCCCGCAATGGTAGCCCTTTGCCATCTTTGTCCCGACCGTACGGCGCGGCCCCTCCGCGCATAAGCTTGTCATACATTGAGACGTGTGGGTCGAAGCCCTGGAACTCCACCTCCGCGAACGGTCGGGCACCGGGAGGGCTGGGCTGTGCTACGGGAGGGCCCGGTGTCTGTGTGGGTCTAAAGGCCCTGTAGTGTAGGTTTTCGGTGACCACTTCGTCGTCCCGTATGTGTGGCCCGTGTGCTGCCATTTCTAGTGGTTATCGTGTTTTTGTTTCAATTTGTATTCAAAGTGTATTTTGTTTTTTTTGTGAAAGTTTTATGGTTTAAAAATATTGATTTAATTTTTAAAAATTTTTAACAAATAATTAAAATACATGTTTAAAATTTTATTAAAATATTGCTTTATTATAATTTATAATTAGTTATTTTTCTATTTATACATTAGATAACAATATTAACAATAATTTGTTGTTTAATTAAAAAAGTTAAAAATTATAAAATTTTGATTTGATAAAAATTACAGTTAAAAATAAATTACAATTTTTTATAAAGTAGTCTATAAACATAACAACAGTTATGCCAATTAAAATTGTCGTTATTTTGCATATCTAAATTTAATCTTGTTTATACCATTTATTAAATAACATTTAAAATAATTGGTTAATTGGCAACATATGGTGAACAATGATAAGTCATTTCAACAACAGATCCAAACGATAAGACAAATCAATGGCGGAATAAAGAGTGAACTCGAGATGAAGACCACGAATCAGACCGAAGCTCAGAAGTACGGTCTGGAGGAAAGGCTACGCCTTGAGTGCCCATTGGATGCGTTGGACGCCCAGCACAGGGCCGCCAAACAGAAGGTCCACTCCATATGGAAACGACACGCGGAGGCCATGAAGAGTGTCCGCGATTTGTTTGAAAAGCGTATGAAAGAAGTCAAAGCTATTAAATCTCAAAGAAAAGTTGTCCGAAAGTAATATTGTATGTTATTAATAACTTATTATTAGTGTTGCCGTCTATTTGTTTAAACATATCAATCGAAATAAAACACGAGTTGAAAAGTAATAAATCTTGTTTTTATTAATAATTTTTTATTGCTAAATAAATTGTTAATTGGTACGTGTACTTAGATTGTATTGGATTAGATTGTATAACGTTAGTTGACTGTGCATGATAATACAATTTAATTAATAAACTACATCAAAAAAGAACTTAAAATATAAAATCAAATTGTGCCAAATGTTATGATTTGCACTAAAATATATTTGAATTCAAAATTAGGTTATTATTTGATAACAAATATTAAAATACTTAATAATTCATACAATAATTGTGACTTTATTATACAGTACTCACAATGATTGCATCTGGATAAGTCATGTTTAAATGTTATTTCGTTTATCTATCATTCTAAGCTTTACATCAATATAATTTATTTTTGCCGTAAACTTAAAATGATATTCAGTAAATAAGCACTCAATGTCTTAAATAATGTGCCTGATATCTTATTTACAATTGATAATCAAGGATATAACCTAGGTATATTGTGTTTTCACTTTTAACAGTATTTTAATAGTGTTACAACAAAATTACTTATCTTACTTTAAGTGGGATTAAGACATTTTATTGATGATCCACTAAAATCATTAAAAATATTAGTTGTATTAACACAAAATAGTTTTTATCAATCATTTAAATCGTTTATAAGGAGAAGATTTTTAATGGAAATTTATTAATGAGTTTCTTAAGACTTAATTAACATTATATTGTTATATAACGTGTATATTAATAATGTTTACCATATATTTGTTAGCATTGATTGCTTTCGCAAACGTAAACGCATTTGAAGTGAAGGAAAGCAATGATATCTATCAAGAAGTGAGAGATTCAAGAAATTTTACGGGAAAAGTAGTTTTAGTGACCGGAAGTGCTCAGGGAATTGGTGAGGGTATTATCAAACTATACTCAGCTCTCGGGGCGAGTGTTGTCATCACAGGTAGGAAAGCCGTAGAGATTTCAAGAGTGGCCAAAGAAGCGCAAGAATTGTCACCGAAAAAACTTAAAGTATTTTGAATTTAATAAGTATTTTTAAAATACCATAATTATGTTTAATTGAATTGAAAAAATTATAAATTAATATTTAAATAGCCGTTAGAAGTGACCGCAGATCTGACCAAAGATGAAGATTTGCAGCATTTGTTTAATGAGACCATAAAGGCGTACAAAGGGTTGGATGTATTGGTCAATAACGCCGGGCTATTAATCAACTCTTCGGCGACCGATAAAAACTTTTTGTCCGTTTTGGACAAATCGGAGAAAATAGACTTAAGAGCATCACTAGAGCTGATCCGACTTAGTGTTCCGTATCTCAAAAAATCCAACGGATCTGTGGTTAACATTTGCAGCACTTATATTGAACACCCGGTAAATAACACGACTAACAATAACATTATAATTACAACTACTATTAAATAAAAATATAACAACATTTAAACCTCAAGCAAATATCCTATTTGGGGTACGATATCGCAAAAGCGGCGCTGGGAATGGCAACCAAGGTACTTTCAATAGAGTTGGCCCCACAGGGTATACGTGTTAACTCTGTCAGGTAGAATATATACAATTATTTTAGTAATTACAATGATCATTTGTGTCATTCATTCATTAGCCCGAGTGTTGTTCAGTCCCATCCGCGCAATGAGAGCTCTGACTGGGAATTGAAAATTATGGACAAAGCGGTCAAAACGACACCATTGAGACGGCCCGGCCTTCCCATTGATATCGCCAAAGGAGTGGTATTCCTGTCCTCATCGGACGCCTCATTCATAACGGGACACAATCTGGTGGTCGACGGAGGGCTCAGATATAACGAGGATTCAGATTATATGAATGTATAAAATCAAA